TGGAACCCCCCAAGCCAAGCCTCCAGCAGCTGAGTTCCAAAACGGAAAATCAGCATTTTGGCGATTGAAACGCCCGTTTTACTGGTTTTGGAACCTTCTAAGCCCCAACCCCTGCTCAAATCAACCAAGACCTCCGTCCCATTCCAACACCTACAGTACACATTTTTATTTAACGGCCAAAAAAATTCGTTGTACCGTGGTTAGCCCCCAAGGCCGAAAACCCAAACGTTCCCAACTCACACCCACGCACAAAGTCTCTCCTTTGTTGTTTTGGAACTTTCCCAAACCCTGTATATATACACATGTATGTATGTATTTATGTATAGTCATACGTATGTAATGAAAAATCGACCGAATTTCGAGGATGCTCCGCAGGGGAGCGCGATTTTTGATGAAGAAACGACGAAATTTTCAGGATGCTCCGCACGGGAGCGCGACGTTCTTCAAAATTTTCAGGATGCTCGCACGGGAGCGCGATTTTCTTCAAAATTTTGAGGATGCTCCGCACGGGAACGCGATTTGTCTCAAAATTTTCAGGATGCTCCGCACGGGAGTGCGATTTTAATCAAAATTTTCTGGATGCTCCGCACGGGAGCGCGATTTTCTTCAAAGTTTTAAGGATGCTCCGCACGGGATCGCGATTTTCCTCAAAATTTTGAGGATGCTCCGCACGGGAGCGCGATTTTCTTCAACATTTTCAGGATGCTCCCCACGAAAGCGCGATTTTCCTCAAAATTTTCAGGATGCTCCGCACGGGAGTGCGATTTTCTTCAACATTTTCAGGATGCTCCGCACGGAAGTGCGATTTTCTTCAAAATTTTGAGGGCGCTCCGCACGGGATTTTCGTCAAAAGAAGACGACCTTGAGCGGAGGAGTTTGGTATAGAATTGGTATGGAAAGCGTTCCTTAACCGATCAAATTTAGAACGACGAATCCGACGAATCCTTTACCAATCGTATACCAAAACGCTCCCCCAAGAACCTCCCTCTTGAGAAGATAAATCGACGAAATTTTGAGGATGTCTCGAGCGGGAGCGCGATTTTTGAAGATAAATCGTTGACATCAAAATTTTCCGAATGCTCCGCACGGGAGCGCAATTTTGATCGATTTGGGCGAAGATAACTCGACGAAATTTTGAGGATGTCTCGAGCGAGAGCGCGATTTCTGAAAAAACGAAGATGTTCAGAGGCTTTAAAAAATTGAATTGTCTCGCGCGGGAGCGCAATTTTTTGATATTTTATAAAGTCAAAATGACGCAAAATTTTGAGGATCTATCGAGCGAAAACGCGATTTTTGAAAATCAGGGGGGATCGTCCCGTTCGCACCGACCCCCCCTAGCAAGACTACTTCAAAGTTCTATAATTTTAGATCAATTAAAAAAAGCCGATTTTTTGAGAATGTCTCGAGCGAGAGCGCGATTTGTAGGCCAACATAGGCGCGTCCAAAATGTTTGCGCGACGGAAGAGCACGCTGCGGGTGCCGGGCGACGCCACATCTAAACAATTAGAACCCCACAATGAATGTGGGAATAAGAAGACTAATAATAATGGTAATCTAGATCTTTGCGCCTGATCTTCATCTTGCCTTACCCTTACAACCGAATCAAGATTCCTGTCAACATATCAGCAAGAATGATAGCAAGCAGACGAGCGTGGATGATTGTCAGAAAGACGGAACGAACTGTGATGGTGTTGGTGGGGAGTTTAGGGTTTAAGGGTTTAGGGGTTGAGGGTTTAGGGTTTAGGTGTTTTTGAATATGAACAGCCGTGATCCCTGTAGTGATTGGTAACTATGCTCTTGACATCTTCTCGGAAGGCAAAATAGTCTTCTGGGACTCCTCTGCAAAAGCCAGTAAGCACAAAATCGAAACAAGAATACAGGAGTTAAACACTGAACCCCTAAAACCTTGCACTGTAAACCCCCAAGCTCCTAAATGATAAATCTTGCACTCTGAAATCCTACACCCCAAAATCCCAATGCGAATCAGGAACCCAGCCAGCATTCCACCCAGGATCATTCCTTGACAACGCATAATTTGCTTCCATGCGTGTGGGAAGATGACAGCTGAAATCTTGAAGTGTGATAGTGAGGATTCTGAGGATCCTTAGGGTTTAAGGGATGGGTGTGTAAACATGGACACCAGTATGTAAAGGTCCATGCTCCAGGTAACTAGGGGGCTGCAGGAACCTAAGCGAGTCATGAACAGACCCTGTTGAATCAACTAAGGTCGCATCCTGCTTGTGAACCACTTTGGAACCAATAGGATAGAATGGTCTTACGGTAAATTGGGGCTATAGAGTCTCTGCAAGAGCCTCTGCTATGCTCACCCTTCACTGCTAATCCCCTGCTTATTTCAGATATATGCACCAGAAACATGATTTTCCTCAGCCTATTCTCCTTACTAGTAGCCTTCATGTTACGAAAATAAATGCTGATATTATCAATGCTATTTGTCTTCTTAAAGCCAAGCACATCAAGCAAGCACTGTTCAGAGTCGCTATGCACTACACAAAAAGTGGCGGCTGCAAAGCATCACACACAATCAAACCTCACTGCATCTGACGAAGAACGCTTGCGAACACGTTTGCCAGCTAGGGGGCAGCATGTGGGGCAATATCCAGCTTACATCCTTCCGACCGCCCGGCTTGAGCCGGTAGCAAAGTGACAATTGAGCCCGGTGCCACAGAAAACATTCATGACAATAATTACTACCAAAGGTGCGAAGAGTTGGTTATGCCCCCGCGTATCCTCTGCGCAACCCCAGCCCTTAGCAATCCCAGGCGAGGCGCCAGCGCAGCAGATGGCGTTGAGGTACACCTTGCGCTGGCACGCAGGCTTCCGTCCGTGCCACCACTCCACAATTGCCTGGTCGTGAGAGCAATGGTTTTCTTTGCTGCTTGTTCATACGGAATGAACGAAAGGAACGAACATGGAAACTACCGTACTATCGGGGATTATGAAGGGAATGCCACAGGTATCCAATGGTTTCGCGCTCACTTCAAAGTACAAATCAGAGAGTAAATCCTTCTTGAAAGGAGAACCTGTCACCCTCGCATAGAGGTGATATAGAGCCACGCACAATAGAAGACTGAGGAGACACACTCTTGCTCAACAACATCTTAGTCCATAGGATTCTCAACCACATAACCCCAACAAAAGGCCACACTCCGGATCTCCCGCAACTGCCAAGTTTAGAATCCTACATCCGAGATATATATATATATGTATAACTCTATAACACTCTGTAACCTTCTGTAGCCCTGCACAGCCCTATACTATAGCCTGTAACCCTTTTAGGACCCCTATGTTTTGGAAACCCCCAATGGGGAATTGAAATCAGGAGTATCACATTGTTGGAGTCCTTCTCATAAGGATTGCAGTATTGTTGGGTCTATAGGGGATCCTTTCTTTGGAGTATAAAATTCCCTGTATCCTAGAACCTTTTTAAAGGGACCCTACTTACCAAAGTCCTAAACCCTAAACCCTAAACCCTAAATATATTTCCTTTCAAGGGACCACTACTTTTTGCAAACCTAAACCCTGAACCCTAAACCTTACCCCCAAATTTGTTCAGCCTTGCCGAGGCTTATGGCGGCGTCCGTCTGCCCACCGGCTGTGTGGGTCGCCCTGCAGTAACTGGAGAGTTCAGGGTTTGGGGGTTAGGGTTCAGGATTTAAGGTTCAGGATTTAGGGTTTAGGGTTCAGGGTTCAGGGTTCGCGTGCAGGGTTTAGGATTTAGGGTTTAGGATATAAGGTTCAGAGTGTAAGGCTAGTTAGGAAGAATGGAGGATCAAATAGAAGAGAAAACGGAAACTGAAATGGAAACTGGGGCAATATAGAGATTGGCAGCTTTAGTTTGGGGGCTCGGACCAGGTAGCCATATTGAGAAGTACTCACCCCTAAACCCTAAACCCTAGGAGGTTCTCCATAACAATGATTATGAGAGGCTGTGCTGGCTGGTTATAACTTATACCCTTAGGATTCTCAACGCACTGTACTTCCCAAGTACGTTGGTGCAAGATGCCCTCCATCGACCATATGGGTAGTTCCCAACATTAGGGTCCCATTTTGGTACCCCTAAATATTAGGTGCCGTAATATAATATATAACCAAATGCGGATCATGTTTCTGCTATCTTTGCGTTCTTTGGGCTTGTATGGGTTTCAGCCTGACGTCTGCGAGGATTTCAGCTCGCTGGCTGTGCAGGAGAGGAACGGAAAGAACATGCAAGCCTCTGTAGGGTTAAGGGTTGAGGTTACAGGGTTAAGGAGACGAAGAAATGTGGAGAAAAAACACTAAACTACTGCATTCTTGCACACAATGCAGGGGCTACCTCCATTCCTCACTACAAACAGCCAGTAAGCAAAACGAGCCCTGGGAAAGCAAAGTTGCTGCACAAAGATTTGTGGGGTTCATGCTTCATTGCAAAAAAAGCTGGCGTACACCAGCAACATCAGAGGCTGGGTCTTTCATGCTAGGGGCAGAGAAGACTCTTGATGCGTGTCTTTCAATACTGCCATTGTCATCATTAGTGCTTTTAGGCGTAAGACCCATTATTGTTTGTAGTTGCTGTACCGGTCCTGTCAGAGCTCCATCCCAAACCACCCCCAGAAAAAGAACTGAATAGCCTGCTTGCTCAGTTAGGATAGTGTGGACAACCTTGCAAACAACAAGAGCAGCAATGGTAATGCCAAGACTAGGGGCTGCAGTGCCAAAGACAATAATGATGACACAATCACTGATGCCTCATCGGCACTGCACTGAAGCTGCTGGAAGTGGCGTTCCTTGTTGGCGGCTACATGCGGCTACACTAGATGTTATGGCTTCGTGCTGCTTGTCAAGGACAGCTGAGGGCTGACATGCGGAATATGAGGTCTCTACGTGCGGCTGCCCTTGTGACCTTCCGATATGGGATATCAGTGGATGCTAGGCTTTCCGAGAATGGAGATGCGGGATGAGAAAGCTGCACATGTTTGGAAGCGAGGTTACCATCAAGGGCCCTTCTCCTGAGCACCTAAGACACACAAGAATTACCTCTATTTCAGGACTTGGGTGTTGGCACTCACAAACAGTTTAGACATCGCGCATGGCACTTGGGACTGTCCATGAACACATGCATGATTGATAATGAGCAGGTACTTGCCCGGTTCAGCTTGTCAATTTGTTGTTGCTCTGACTTTGGGGCGTGCTTTGCCAGAGAAGGTGACCAGAGTGTTTGGGCAATCAAGAGTGTCCGCTATTACGTACCTAGAGAAGAAGCCCAGCAACACTCGAAGACACATGGCACTTAGACTTCTTGATGGCAAAGGTATCAATGAAAGCAGGGCTGCTTGGGAAGTTCCAATGAACAAGCTGCCGTGTACTGCTGGTTTGCGACCCTCCCAAACCTGCGCATAGTGGAATGTTTGTGTTGTTGCTGCAACCAACCCTTTCCAGGTGCAAGACTCGCAAAAGTACATGATCCAAGCACCCTGTCCACTCGGATGTCTGAAGCCTCACCCTGCTTCGGAATCTTTGCAAACGCGCGCAACACTACCCTGAGCCAGTTCTAGGTATGCTTGCCATGCCACATCAGACCCTGGGCAAGTGCCCAAATCTGCATGCAGAAGGTTGGGCGGTTGAGGACCTCGCAGAAGCAGCTAAACCAGCAAGGCTTGGAAGTCACTGCTTCAACACTCTTACCTAAGGACAGCGCCTTGGAACCCCAAAACCTAAACCCTAAACCCAAAGTAGAAACTTGGCCTTCCTGCACAAGAGCATGATACAGGAATACAGGATCCATGTTTGTGTCGCGCACTGGGATTGGGGTCGATGATTCAGGTGTCTGCTGTATAATACCCGACGAAGGACCAAGTTGCCTATAATAGGATCCAGCTTAGGGAGCTAGTAAGACTCACAAACCCACACAGGCACACACTCCAACTCCAATCTAAACCGCCACGCCGCTCCTACTGGTCAAACTCTGAAGGTTAAACCTCCTGACCTTGAACCTAACCAGACCATACTAAACCCTCAAGGCCTCAGCCCTGAACCCCAAACCCAGCGTGCAGACATGTGCACACTCAGTACCTTCTTCGCATAGGCGCCAATGAAGATCATGGCGGCCGAAAGGATCATGCCTGCAAATTCCAAAAAGAACAGCTTAAGGTCTAGAGTCTAGAGCTAAGAATTCCTCACTTACTAAGGTAGGCCCATGATTAATAAACCCCCTCCGTTTAAGGGCCTTAATACTAGGATCCCTACTATAATCCCTATCAAGGAGATCGGGTTGATTAATCAGGGGTCTGGGTTAAGTTACGATTGCTTGCACTCCCCCTGCCTCCTACTGCTGCTGATGTTCTTAAGCTCTAAACACTAAACCTTTTTCACAACAGACGTGGGTGGTCCCCTCCTCAACGTTCAGAGGCCTGTTTCAGACCACATTGCGGATAGGATTCCCAGTGGAAAGACGCAGATTCAAGAGAGCAGGAGTACAATTATTTAAGGGCCCACCATTCGCTTTGACAGCGTCGATGCTAAAAGGTCAAGCTAGCAAGCAATCATGCAAAACCATCAAAACCGAGACGGGGTACTCAGGGCTTACAAGCAGGTTTGTCAAAAAATGTTATAGGATTGAACACTACATGGGTGGTTATCAGAACTACGATCTCTTTCTGGATCTCTATTAAAATATGGCATCTAATATTTAGGGTACCCAAAAAGGGACCATAATTTTGACAACCACCCATATTCTACATGCCACTACTGCCTGTTGGCATAAAACCCCCAAGATGAGGTTTGCACTTGCTGTAATCCCCTCGCCCTTTGAAATAAACAACAAACTCTCCTTTTGATTAGAATATGAGGTATATTAGTCGGGGTATATAGGGATAATGGAAAAAATGGAAACTACTATAGACTATGGTATAACAGGGTATATATTGGGGTTATAGATGAGGATTCCCCAATTGTCAACTGGGACTATACTCGGGGTATTTGCTAATTAGGTGTCAGCTCCAGTGACGTCTGGTGCTTTCCGGCAGAATACGTTCCATGTGACAGCAGCGGAAAAACCGTGTCTGCTACAAGTTCGAGGTTTACAAGCTATAGTCTGAACTGCTTAAAGGAGGGTTATATATGGGGATTATGTAGGGGACTACTACAGGGGTTATTAAGGCGGATACTAGGAGTTTAGACTATGGTTCTTACAGGAACGAGAGCAGGACGCTGAAGGAAGGATCCTTGCGAATCCAGAAGTCCAATAGGACACTTCCTAAGTCTTATGGTGTAAGGTTGATTTTCATGGCGTCCCAGAGTTATGGTCTCTGTTTTGAAGGTTCCTGCAGATTAAACACTGCAGCAACGAAAATACGACTTTCCGGAATAGGCGAACCCTGCTTGCTATGAGATAGAAGCGCTAAATGCAAAATCCAGCACCTGAATGAACCTGAAACCTTAACCCAAGAACCCAAACATAAATGAACCCGAGACCCCAAAATGCCAAATCCCGCCCCCGAAGCCCTAAACCCTAAACCCGAAGCCCTAAACCCCGCAAGCCCTCCCGATTCGCATCCCGAGCCTGGCGAGGGGCGGCCTTCGAAGATGTGGTCGCCATCACAGCCGCTTGGCCACATCCCAGCAATCAGGCCTGGCATTATCTTTCTGGGTTGTTAATAATGGGTATATAAGGTTTAGGGTTTGGCATGGTATAGGGATATCATCCTCCAATCATGGAGAATCAAATGGAAAAGAAAATGGAATATGAAATGGAAACAGGGGTTGAGAGTTTAAGGTTGCTGTTAAGGAACTCAGGTTGAGTTACCATATTGGGTATATATAGTAATCACAAAGGTTTCTCCAAGATAGTAAGTCATATCAAATTCCTTAACAGCAACCCATCTTTGCTTGAATATTATGCTGAGGTGCTATTTGACCTGATCACTTGTGACCGTTATGTCAAGGACACATCACCTACATGACAATGAAACAAGTTCTTCAACAAGAAGGGAGTGAGAGACGAATGCGGGTATAGTCCCCTTCAAGCAGATGGAATATAGGGTATATGGGGATCTTATTATAATATACCCAAAGCCGTATTCTATCGACTTAAGGGGGACTATAGGGAGTAAAATCTGCAGGAATCACGCCAGGAATTCACTCTGCAACTTTTTCTTGGCCACCAGGAAGAATAGGCGTTCACACTTTGCAGCAGTAGGGATGGAGGTTTAAGCCGCTCGTGGCGAGGGATTCAGGGTTAAGGGTATTCGGCTTGGGATTATATAGGGATAATGCAACAGAAAATGGAAACTACTATAGACTGTCGTATAACAGGGTATATATTGGGGTTATAGATGAGGATTCCCCTATGTAGAATTTTCAAGCCAAGGTCTTGAGACCCGTACTACTTTCAATGTATACCATGCTAGATGCTCCTCGAACTTCAAACAAGATAGCGGAAAAAATAAGGAACAAAATACCAAGTTCCGTGACCGTAGTAGTGCTCAAGGATGCTAAGAGTCACAGGAGGATTCTTGGTAGCCCAGTAACCATATTACAATAAGGGTACCCTTTTTTCTGTTGGTATATTATATATGGGAACCCAGAACCCNNAGGGTACCACTGGGGTTCCTAGGATTAGCAGGCCGCCATGACCACCACCGCTACTGCTGCTGTTCTGTTGCTGCTGATGCTCCTCCTGCTGTTGCTATGACTCTGACGACGCTGACGAGGAGAATTCTGCAATGTTTTGTGGCATCCTTCCCATACTGCCATCGAAACTTTGATGAGCATCTTCTCTGCAAAACATTTCATAGTTGGCACTTTTATTTGGCATCGGTGCAGGCAATGGTTGGATGGGGGCTGCCGGCTATGAAGGACCCCCGCACAAAACTGCTTAGTCACATGCGTGAACTGCACACCGTTCAGATACCTACACCATACTGAAGATGGGCAATCCCAGCAAAACAGATCTACTCAGATGCTCCTGTCAAAACTCTGCAGACATGAACCAATCACATCATTGCGCCGGAAATCCTACACCAATGCACTTGAAATTGAAAACCTGCCTGCACCGCACATGTGGGATTTCTATCCCCTCTGCACCACACAAGACATACAGCTCCTTGATCCGCAAACCCACAGCTGGCCTCCGCAGTAGAATGATGCACACATGGCCAAAATCTTTGGAGCCTCCTTGTTGCCTGTGGCAAAGAACCGGCCTTCGCAGAGATAATAGAAAAGAAATTTGAAACTACCAT